GTGGCTTGGAAAGTTTGTTGTCAGGACCGTAAGGATAGAGGGTTGGGTATTCGCTCTCTTCGTGTTTTTAACAAAGCAAATCGTTTGGTTCAGTGTTGGTGTATTATGAATGAGATTGACACTTGGGCTTCGATTGTAAAAGCTAGAGTTTTAAGGAAAGGCTCGGTGCGTAAATCACACGTTTTCTCGTCTATTTGGACAGGTTGTGCTGAGTTTTTGGAAGACGTATTGCAGAATTCTATGTGGATGATTGGAAAGGGCAATAAAATTAATTTATGGCGTGATAACCGGTGTGGCAGTCCCTTGACTTCATCGCTCCATCTTTCGGATGCTCAGCTGGCGCTGCTGAAGGCTGATCTGAGCTCCATTTTAAGTGGCAATTCGTTTCACTTGCCACCGGGGTTGATCAGTATTTGTCCTGAGCTGCCACGGATGGTGGAAAATATTTATGTCAATTGTTTGAAGGACTATTGGCTCGCTTGGTCAACGTCTGACAGCGGCTATATCACTGTCAAGGATGCGTATTCTTACTGCAAGCATAGCGGAAATGCTTGTGTTTGGGGCAATTTTATTTGGCACTCAAATATCCCTCCTTCTCATTCTATTCTCTTTTGGAGAGTTATGAAGAATCGTGTTCCTACGGACAACGTTCTCCGGCATTGCGGTATGGCTGGCCCTTCTATTTGCAACCTCTGTTTACATACAGAAGAAAATATCAATCACCTTTTTTTTCAATGTGAGTATTCTTGGAGGATCTGGAATTGGTTGCGCGATATGCTTAATGTTAATTTTAGCTTTTCAAATATGCAGGATTGTTTCATTGCAATGCATAAAGCTGGTGATGCGCAATGTATGGTGGTGTACCGTGCTTCGATTATTGTTGTGGTTAATGGCATTTGGCGGGCTCGAAATTATGCTCGGTTTCAAAACAGGTTTATTCCTTGGAGAACTACATGTTCATCTATTTATGCTACTTCCCAGCTGGCTGGAAATTCTTTCAAAGGAGCGAGCATCTTCTATGGGCATTGGGGATTTTCAAGTTCTGAAAAAGTTTTCTATTTCCATTAATTCGGTTAATCCCAAGATATGTGTCAAAGTCATTTGGAATCCTCCCCCAAATGGTTGGATTAAAGTCAACATTGATAGAGCATCTGGCGGTGATCCAATAAACGCGGCTTGTGGGGGGATCTTTAGAGATCACTTCGGGAATCACATTGAAAGTTTTGCTTGTAATTTAGGCTCTGTTAAATCACTGTTTGCTGAGCTGATGGGAGCTATTTTGGCTATTGAGCATGCTTTAGTTCGAGGTTGGACAAATATTTGGCTAGAATCAGATTCATCTCTTGTTGTGTTGGCGTTCAGTAAACCATCTGTTGTGCCCTGGAAGATCAGGAATAGATGGGACAACTGTACGACTACCCTTGGCAATTGTAATTTTTTGGCTTCTCATGTTTTCAGGGAAGGTAACCACTGTGTCGATAAATTGGCTAACATAGGTTTAAATATCTCTAACTTTATTGGGTGGAATGTTGTACATCGGGATATAGAACCGGACTTTTGTAGAAACCGATTAGGTTTACTTAATTTTAGAATCAGATAGGTTTGAGGTTTAGACTCTTCGTCCCCCTCATTTTTGTACCTATTTATCTTTTTCATTTAATGGATTTTTGGGTTTAGGCCCAATTTATTAAAAAAAATATATAAAAATAATTATTACTTTTTCAATTATATTCTTTAATTATTATTTTTTTATGCTACTTTCACATTTTTATATGATTAATTTAATAAAAATGTAAATTGCATTTTTAATTTACATTCTTGTATGTAAAAACTTTAAATGAAAGGGACGTGAAATTCGTTTTCAATAGGAAAGAAAACCGTTATCCAAATTTAGAAACAAATAAGCTCGGCTGAAATTAAAATATGGGAGAAGAAAAACTTTGAAAGAGACTGTTGCTTTTAACATGTCTCTTTTTCTTTACGTAGTTTAACAAAACAAGAATGGAGAGTATACACTATAAATTGCATCCCTTCCTTCAGTTTCAACTCATATTTCCAAATTCTATTTCATCTTTTCTCTCAGATTCTCTCTTTATTTACACAAAAACAATATTAATAATGGGAGAGGAATCACACTCACAGAAGAAGGTTGTGTTTGACGGAGAAGCCGCGTCGTGGCTGGTGAAGAAACTGAGGGTGAGTTTCAGTTCCGGTAAGACACGAAGTTATGAATGGAGAATATCGCAGGTGAAGGCTCTTTTGAAAATGATGGCTGAACAAGAGGATCAAATCATTGATGCTCTTCGTTCCGACCTTGCTAAACCGCCACTTGAAACCGTCCTCTATGAGGTAATGTTATCTTCATGCTTAAGTTAATTCAAATCATGAAAGTTATCTTCACTCAGTTACTGAGTAACTGTTATTTTGTAGATTGTTCTGCTTAAAAACTCATGTGAACTCGTGTTGAAAGAATTGAAACAATGGATGACACCAGAAAAGGTTTCTTTTATTTCAATTTCTTCACTTCTATTGCTTATATATATAGTTAGTTAGTTTATTTGATTTATCATATGAAATTTCTTTAATTATTTCAGGCTAAAACTTCAATCACAACTTTTCCGTCTTCGGCTGAAATCATACCTGAACCGCTTGGTGTTGTGTTAGTCATCTCCACATGGAACTATCCATTTTGTAAGTCCATTCTCTGATCAGTAATTATACAAACAACATATAGATTATTTATATGATAAACGGTTATGCTATAATGACTTAATTAAGTTGTGTATTCAAATGTTTTAGAGTTGATATTTTCAGCTTATTGTTTCTTTGATGATAATCTATGAAGATTATAATATTAGTATTACTCTCTGTCTGTTTTTCCAGTGCTGTCTCTTGATCCAGTCGTTGGAGCTATAGCCGCTGGTAATGCTGTGGTTTTAAAACCATCAGAAATTGCTCCGGCTTCATCTTCACTGTTGGCAAAAATGTTAGGGGAGTACTTGGATAACTCATCTATAAGAGTTGTGGAAGGGGCCGTGGATGAAACTACTGCATTGCTGCAACAAAAGTGGGACAAAATTTTCTATACAGGTTTGTCTCTTTTCATGGACGGTTGTGAATTTTGAAATCCCTTTACAGATAATCAAGTACATGATTTGAAGAAAAAATGGTACTGGCGTAAGTAATTCTTGAATTTTTCAGGAAATGGAAAAGTGGGACGGATAGTGATGGCTGCGGCTGCAAAACACCTAACACCAGTTACTCTTGAGCTGGGCGGAAAATCTCCAGCTGTTGTTGATTCAAATGTCAATTTAGAGGTATTGACTTAGGCCGTGTTTGTATTTATTAGTTTGAGTTTATCTATTGACTAAGGCCGCGTTTGTATTTACAAGGTTGCTGCAAGACGGATAATTTCTGGCAAATGGTGCTGTAACAATGGACAAACTTGCATTTCTCCTGATTATATTATAACAACAAAAGAATTTGCTCCAAAATTGGTATGGAATTTTCTTCGTGTGGTCAAGAGTTGTAAATCTTTGTCTATGTGGATCTAATTTTTGGTGCTTCTCATTTTCAGGTAGATGCTTTAAAGACTGAATTGGAGAACTGCTTTGGAAAGAGCCCAATAGAATCAAACGATTTGTCGCGCATTGTGAACTCTAACCACTTTGCTCGCTTGTTAAAGTTCTTGGACGACGATAAGGTTTCTGGCAAGATTGTTTGTGGAGGTGAAAAGGATGAAAGCAAATTGTAAGCTCTCTTCTTGTTTCTTATTTTTGAGTTTAAGATAGTGAAATTCAATGGATATTGACACAAGCAAATTACAGGAGGATTGCTCCAACTATTTTATTAGACGTTCCGCAAGATTCTCTGATAATGAGTGAGGAGATCTTTGGTCCATTGCTTCCCATAGTCACGGTAACAATAAAAGCACACATAAAAGAACTCATTTTATGTCGTGTAGTTCAAATTTCATTTGTTTTATTTGGTTACATTTTTCCAATATGCTAATATGAACAATCTGTGCACATATATAACAGCTGCTAGTCCTTTCTGGACAAATTGCAAAACTTTTAAGCTAAATGTTACACTAATAACTAGCATCCAATTTATAATACATGCTTATTCTTTGTAACAGGTAAATAAGCTAGAAGAAAGCTTTGATTTGATCAACGCAGGAACAAAACCACTTGCTGCATATTTATTTACACACGACAACAAGTTGAAGGAGCAATTTGTGAAGAATGTTTCTGCTGGGGGTTTGCTTATCAATGACACTGTCTTACATGTATTGTTCTTTATTTTCTTAAACCTTTCGAAGAAACGCATAATTTAGCTCATATATCCTTGTCATGCAATGTTATTCATATCTGTTATTTTCCTTTTCTTGTACAGCTTGTGGTTCATACATTGCCATTTGGGGGAGTTGGTGACAGTGGAATGGGCGCATACCGTGGAAAATTCTCCTTTGATGTTTTTACTCACAGAAAGGGAGTTCTTTATCGTAGGTTTATAGGCGATTCATCAATAAGGTACCCACCTTACACTGATACTAAGCAAAAAATTATGAAGGCTCTAGTAGCCGGTGATGTTCCTGGTGTAGTTCGTGCGCTAATTGGATGGTCCTAAACTTTAACCTGTTTTCAAATGTGGCTGCTTTTCTGGTGTTGTATAATTTGTCTTGGTTTTATGTATTTTACAGTTCACATTAATTTCATTGTAACAAATTTTCAAAGTAAACTAATAAAGTGAGGCTTGTGCTTATTAAAAGCAAATTGGTTGTTGATATTTGATACTTCTCTCTATTTCCACCATGGTTTTAAATTGCAGTTGCATTGCAATCCTTAATATAACATACAATTGAGTTCAAATTTAGCCTGTCTCGTGGAGCCATCAAAAACTTTGATGTTGCGGTCCAAATTACGGTTGCAGGGAAGTTTGCTCAATTCAACATCAAAGAGGGCATCACAGATTAAAAATAAATAAAAAAACAGGATTAATCAACAAGAGTTCTGTAAAATACCAAAAACTTCAGATCTTTGATTATCGGTAAGATGTGTCGGAAACTCAACAAGAAATGTAATTCTTAAGTCTCCTCTCTTCCCTGATTCTCCGGAGATTGGCATACCTTGATCAGTTACAATCTTCTGATAGCCAGGGTATATAACATCATCTACTGTCAAATTCATATGCTCTCCACCCAACAATGGAACGGATATTGTACACCCAGTAAGTGCCTTTATTAAGGGAATTTCTAAACATAATTCCAAATCATCCCCTTCTCTTTTGAAAAATTGGTGTCCTTTCTCAGATATATAAAATACTATGTCTTCTTGGTATGCATTAGGCCTTATGCTCCCTTTGCCTTCAAATCTTATCTTTGTTCCTTTCTTCCATCCAGGTTCTACATTTATTGTTAATTGTTCCTCCTCTTTAACAACACTTCTGCATGAAACAAAAACAACGATTAATAAATAATACGTATCAATTAATCAAATGACGCGGAGATAGATATATACGAACCCAGTATCTGAGAGGACATCTCTGGTGATCATGATCTTTTTCGTGCAACCATAACACAACTCTTCAAGGGTGCATTCGAGAGTTTTCTCAATTGGTGGTGGTTTGAGCATTCCTGATGAATTGGAATACATGATCGGAGTTCCATTTTTACGACTACCATTTCTTGACTGCGAACGAGGAGGCATTTGTAAACTGCCGCTAATATTCAATGAATAAGGGGGAGGTACAAATTTCTCAAAGCTTTCGACGCTCTTGCTTCTCTTGCGACTATCCCTCTTTCTGTTAACCGAGTTGTTTCTTGACGTAGAAGCCATCGAATTGGAAGGTAAACGTGAATCTCCAAAGCTTCTATGCCTACACAAACAACATCCTAATCTTGAACTCATCATTATATCCTTCTCTCTCAATGCATCTGCATTCAATCCCATGTCGCGAATTCCATTCGTGTGTTCACCTGATTTGTCATCTACAACAGATTCCTGATGAATGGAGTTTCAATATTAGATACTCATTATGCATGCATGCATGAAATTTCTACCTAATAAAAAAAAAGACATTCTTAATCTTGGATGTGAAATGAGATAATATATTGATAATATTTTTTTGTTATTAACAATAACATAGTATGATCCGTTAAAATAAACCGAACCTGCTGAGTTTGTTTAGGGCGCGATGGTTTACCATCGGTCGGGGATGACGGTGTATTTTGGCATAACCATGTTTTGATGAATGATTTGTATGATTTGGAAAGACAACGAATGGATTTTTTGGCTAGAACCATGAGGGAGATGAGATGAGATGCAATGCAATGCAAGAGTAGTTACAACAATGTGAACAGGTGATGCTTGGTGAACCAAATGAGGTTGTTTTTTTTTTTTTCTCGGGTCAAAGGTTGTTTGTTTTCTAGCAGTTCCTTTTATTAGTACCATCTCTAAATAGGAACTAAAGACATTTTGTTTCAACTTGTCCAGATAAGTAAATATATCCTCCACTCTAACAAAGATTTAATAACGATAAATGTCCCTATTCTTTATCACTCTAAATTTCATTTATGTTTTTATAAAAAAAATTACTGTTTTTTTTTTTTAAATGTCCAGAAGAAAAGGAAAGTTTATCTTTGAATGTAAGTTTATAGGAAAATGTGTAAAATCCAGAACACATTTTCTTGTATAAAAATATGAGTTGTTGTTATGTTAAATTCGTTGGTACCCATCCATTTAAGTTGGTTACCGGTATCTTTGTTGTAAATTATAAATTAAAAAAATATTTTTTTTAAAATTAAAATAAAATAATAAAATGATGTAGTATTGAATCAAAATGTTTGATTGGTTAAGAGTACGGGTATCCAACTAATATTAAGGATACCAGAGTGTACACGTGTTCTTATTTGTAAGCCAATGTAAAAATAAAAATGACAAGAATAAATCTCAATCATTTATTAATAATTTCTAATAAAAAAATTAAATTTATAATAAATTAAAAATGATCCTTTAAAATAATGATACGTGTGCATTTTTTTTCAAAATGTTTTGTAATAAATAGTACTACTTTTGAAAAATATAAAAGTTTCTGTAAATTTAAAAAACTTAGAATATAAAAGATTTCCGTATATTTTTTTCATGCGGAATATATATGGAATGCATTTTTCTTTTGGTTTTTTTGTTGTTGGAGAAGATGGTGTTCATCTCGACAAAGAAGCAAAAGAAACAAGATGATACTCATTGTGAAAGAGACGAAAACTTTAAAACCGAAAATTCAATGGTTACTTGTTTCAAAAGAGTTAAATAATCGTTAAGGTTGAGATATGGACCTAATTTAAACTGTGTCTGATGGATGATTAGAGATCGGTGTTGTATTCACAATCATAATTTTTAATAAAGATGTTAGAATATACTTATTTCCCATACCGTTTAAATAGGGAGGAAGACAAGTTGTGAATCACATGTCAAAGTACTGTGACATCAATATTCATGTTAGTGTGTTGAAAGACGGTAATACATATAACCTGACATGTGTTGCCAAATATATAAAGTACAAGGTATCTACTAATCTTCTTTGAGAGTTTCTTACACATTAATATAGTAGTGGTTGAAACTAATTTAAAACAAGAAATGTAGTTATATAATTAATGTAGTTATATAATTATATTGTGCTCTGTCATACCACAATTTTAATTCGGAATTGTCGAATCAATATAGTTATCATGGTATCTGCATCATATGCATAACATAATGTTAAGTGCAAATTTTAACTTAAATTGAACCATCTTTCATTGCATTTTTCAACTCAATTCTCATGTTTTAATAGATTTATTTTTTGTTTTTGTGTGATTCTTCAATTATATTGCAAATACCTTTGGATTCCTTGATTTGTGTGCTATTGTGCAGAATTTAGACATAAAATATCAATGATTAAGACACAAATGATTGGACAAGGAAGCTAAAGAAAATGTGAAGATTTAACATGTTCGTTGGGCGAACAACATCGAGCAGCCAGTGAATATTCGTTGGGCGAAGTCTCAAAAAGTGGTCTTCGCTAGGCGAATAGGGTGTTCGTTAGGCGAACAAGACAGATTTTGTAAATATTATTTAAGTACTTTTCTTACTTTTTAGAAACATATATTATATATTGTTCAGCATAGAACTTTATCTCTCTTCATTTCAAGAACATTCTTGAGAGAGAAACACAAACCCTAAGAGGAAGAAGGTAAGATCTTCAATTTCTTGTTGGAGTTTGAATGTAATCTTTTGATACCTTATTTATTTCATCTAATATATGTTTGTGAACTAGTTTGAATTCAATATTGATATTGTCTTTGATTTCTAATTTGTGGGTCTTGACAAAACCTTTTTCAAATCTTTGATCTAAGATACTCATCTATCAATGAACAAACTTTTGACAGAGTCTTGTAAGTTGATATTCACTAGTATCACTTTTATTTTATTGTATTGATTAGTAGCATGAGTATGATCAATATAGTAAAGACCATGATAACGTTTTTTATGCGAACAATATTGTGAGAATGCGTGATAATAGTGATGAAGAACTATATTCACATACATTTGCCAAATTAGTTGAATGCATGTAAAAAGGGTTAAGTGTATGTACGTATTCTTATCATGACGTTTTATGTGAATCAATCATGAATCTGATATAGATGTCATCTTTGGATACCTGTTAGGTTCTAGACTCTAGATATATATTTAGACTTAGCATTTGCATGAGTATCAGTTCTTAATGCTCTGTGTTGTTGAGTTGCGTGAGCCATCACCAATGAGACAATACGGTTGTTCTCTCGATTTTGCGTTAGACATAACTTCGATTGTGGGTGATACGTGGGGGAATTAGACGAATGATTGATTTATGTTTAACTAGTTAGAAGAATGCATGTGTTATCAATTGATGAGATCCAATTCCAACAAGACTCTGTTTATATTTCAGTCTTTACTTTATATTTTCTGTCTTTATATTTTCAACTTTTATCTATTGTACCTTAAATATTTTAACCAACTTTTTCACAACAAGCTTAGAAATGTAGAGAATGTTGAACGGTACATTTTACTTCGCACTGATCTCTGTGGAGACCATATAAATCCCGGTGGAAATCCTTCCAAATCTAATTTTTTGCTTCTTGTCGCTTTACTGCAGTTCGAACAAAATGACGTTGTTGTCGGGGGTTGGTGTTTAGATATTTAGTGCGTTGCAATAGTTTCTATATTTTTGAGCTTTTTACAGTTATTTATATTGTATATATACTAATTTCCTTTTACGTTTTCTTAACTGTGGTTTAGGATGAATGATGAAAACCTCTTCTAGATTGGTTGCTATTTGTATAAAAGTATCCAATGAAGATTCTCCAAAGTCTGTATGGTGATGGTAAGATGTTGAGTGTGTGAATGCAAACAATGTAAATTGTATCGCTTTATAGAATGTCAGAATGATTTAAGAATTTTGTGCTTTGTGCAAATGTGCATTATTTTTTCATGTTGCAACTTGTTTGAATGTTTGTTTCATTTAGAACCAAAAGCCACAAATTATGAGAAACTTCCATTGTTTACTATATGTTAGGATGATTGATAAACTTTTTTTAATTCGTTTGATTCATGCTTTATCTTTTGATTATTTTGATTTTGTGGAAGCATTAGAAATGATCAATGCATTTGTTTATATTGAGCATAATTGTATTCAAAAGTAACTTACCTGTGACTAGTGAAAATTTGTTAACCCCTTTGAGCCTAAAGAGTTTAGATTTCATTTTAGTGATGAATTTGGTTTATGTACATAATTTAAAAGTTTAGTTCATCATTGAATTTTGTGAGATTCTAAAAAAAATTATTGAACCTTTCAACATTGTTTAAATTGATTTCCTTGCCATAAAAATCAAGAAGCATTCACTTGAGGTTCGGTTAAATTCAAGTTGGGGAGAATGAAAAGAAAAGTGGTAGGTTACTCAAAATTTTGAAAAATTTCAAACAAGCATTAAAAAGAAAAGGTGTGAATATGAATGTGAAAAATAAAAGAAAAAGAATACTTGTTTGAAAAAGAAAAATAGAGAATAAAATAATTGTGCAAAAGGAAGTTTGAGAAGGTTTGCAATAGAGGAAAGAAAATGGTGAATGAAGTTGTGATGTGTAAATACCATGTATAGTGAATGTTTCTTTTGCATTGACGACTTTGATTCAATGACCTTTAGAAATGTCTCATTATTGTGAACCCGGTCAAGCTACAACCTTAAAAGCCCTTAGTGATCTCTTGCTTCCATGTTTTCATTTTTGATTGTTAGATGAATGTATGAATTGGATTGTTATTTGCATTATTTGTTAGGTGAGTGAAACTACCCCGCGTTTGCAAACGCGTTAATTTATTCATTCTTATTTTGAAAAGGAGTGTTAGAGTGATTCAAGTATGAGAATTTAGTTGTTATTTGAAACATTTCATGATATTTATTTAAGAACTAAATTCTTTGTCATTGTTCGATTCTATTGAGTGGTGAATATTACTTATGCGCATTCTCATGTTTGACCAAATCCTCTTATTTGAGAAAATCTCTCTTATTTGAATTTGAATCGTTATCCCTTTCTTGGTTGAATCTTATGCTTGAGTAAATCTTCTTGTGTAAGCAAATCTCTCTTGTTTTTATAAGGAGCATATTTTGTTTGAGGACAAGCAAAAATCTAGTTGTGGAGGGTTTTTTAAGTGTAAAATTTGACTTAAATTGAACCATCTTTATTTGCATTTTTCAACTCAATTCTCATATTTTAATAGATTTATTTCTTGTTCTTGTGTGATTCTTCAATTATATTACAAATACATTTGGATTCCTTGATGTGTGTGTTATTGTGCAGGATTTAGGCATAAAAAATAAATTATTAAGACACAAATGATTGGACAAGGAAACTAAAGAAAATGTGAAGATTCAGCATGTTCGTTGGGCGAACAACAGCGAGCAGCCAGCGAAAATTCGCTGGGCAAAGTCCTAGAGAAGCCCCAACGAACCATCTTAGATTATAGACAGTAGGAAAAGGACCAAAAGTTAGCTGAGTGAATCTGTAGCGAAGAGGTTCAATATTTTCTAAAGGCAGATTAACTGTTCCTAAGGCACTTAAAGTGCCCAAAAGTGGTCTTCGCTAGGCGGACATGACATATTTTGTAAATACTATTTAAATACTTTTCTTACTTTTTAGAAACATATATTATATATTTTTCAGCATAGAACTTTATCTCTCTTCATTCCAAGCACATTCTTGAGAAAGAAACACAAACCTTAAGAGAAAGAAGGTA